AGAGGTTATCACGGAACGGCTGAGCTTCCAGCCTACCAAATGATCTTCATTTCTTTTGTCTGAGTAAATAGAGGCACACTGCACTTATTCTAGTAATGTATTTAGTGTTAGACACAAGCAATGATCATAAACAAGGGGAGGGCAAATAAGTAGGACCGACCAGTAGTGTCCTCCAACCACCCAGTTAAAATTATCAGCTAGGAAGCAAAGAATCCCATTTTTAATTAATAGACACTTATACAGTTGGGCACAGATAACACAAACACAAAAAAGTTAAAGTTATTGATAGCTCTTACATGTGGCCATTCCTTGCAATATCTGAACTGGACAATAAAGATGATTCATTTCTTATCTTATCTCTTTAATCAAATTTGTTATAGTCGGTTGATCCGAGTTATGAATTTGTTGAACACATCTGTCGATCCCCAAAGTGTTTGTGCTATCCGGGCCTGACAGTAGACCTGCTACACTAAGCATTAATGGAAGGCATTTAGAACAATTCGTTTGTTGTGTAACATATTAAAAACTGTAAAGAATAAAATATGACAACTTACTATTAGATTAAAATTTTTTGAAATGAAATAAAATACAGTTCAAAAGCAAAGTCTTCCATAAAATGTGATCTGTTATTTAAAAAAAGAAAAGTATGATAGCTACATTCATCTCTCAAACCCAAGTCACAATATCCATTCCTCTTCTTGAATAGATCTACACCAACAAGTAATTTAAAAAACATGGCAATTCAATTCAAACCAAATACATATATATATATTATGATGAATAATGATACCAAACAAGCAGCAGTATGCCAAAATGACTAACAGCAATAATATGCTAAGTATAATAATTTTTAAATAGAAAATAATACCCCCAAAAGCCCCCCAACAAAACAGGAACAATAAAAATAAAATATCAATTACACATCCATATATATGTGCTGATTAATTACTCTCACTCAGGGAAAGATGTATTTTGAACAGATCATCTTAAAAATTAAAATAAGGGTTCTAAAAGTAAAAGGCTACATGTTTGGTCAACCCTTCTATGCAGCTGTGAATACTGGACTATTTCAATTACCAAATATAGTGAAAATAAAATAGAAGAAACAGAAAAGTGGTTTCTCTGGAGGCTTGAGGATTTCATTGACAATGGCAAGAAATAAAAGGAGGACGTGGGATGCTCATTATTCAGAATAATTAGGAACGACAAATGCATTTTCTGAGACACTTGATACATCATAAAGGCTACTTTGAAAATCTTGCTCTCACTTGAAAAACAAAAGGCAAACGAGGCAGAGGTGGACCCAGAGAAACTTATTTGGAAAGCCTCCATTTTACTAGTGAGAGTTTTACATACATACTTGAAACAAAATTTGGTCATATGAGTGAGGAACATTAAAGGTATTACAAGCGAGTAACAAACGCACAAAAGAAGGAGGAGAGACTTGGAAAACCTGACCAGGTGGATGACGTATAAACTAGGGGATTATACAGGATTTTGAAAGCATCCATCCGAGCGGGGAAATGAATGAATAACCATGCTCGTCGATGTATGTTTCAGATCTTGCAATTCATGATACACGTAATGATACATGTATAGCCTATATATCACCATATTATGATATGTGTGTATGTGTGTGTTTGTGTGTGTGAGTGTGTGTGTGTACCTGCAGGCATTCATATATGTGTGTGTGTGTGCGTTCATGCGTGTGTGGGTGTGTTTGTATGTGTGTGTGTGTGTGTACCTGCAGGCGTTCATGCATGTGTGTGTGTGCATTCATGCGTGTGTGTGTGTGTAAGTGTGTGAGCGTGTGCGTGTGTGTGTGTGTGTGTGTGTGTGTGTGTGTGTGTGTGTGTGTGTGTGTGGTGTGAGAAGCAGAAGACATAAAAGACAGGGTAAAAATTTCTGAGAACGAATGAAACATTTGAAACATGACTCACTGCAGTAGAATTGAACCTGCAAACGTAATGATTATTATCATTACGTTGCCAGAAGAATATAAAACAGAGTTAAAGATATCAAGCAGTGTAAAATAACAAATTCTGGAAATGAAGAAGCGTGTGAACCACTCCCTGACCACTGGGAGCTGAGCAAAACTAGAAACCACAACAAAGAGTATCTACTGACTCAACTGAATTAACAGAAACCCCGCTCTCAATAATCTTCATTGTCAAACCCTCGCTCATTCTTAGTTTCGATCTTAAAAGTAAGAAGTAAGAATGAATTAAAATGAAAACAAGCAGACACTTGGTGACTGTTCCCATTTCTTCAAAGGTCTGAAATACCTAAACAACCCCCCCCCCCCCCCCCCCCCCCCTCTCCTGAAATAAAAACAAACACTGCACTGCACTCACACATGTAGTCCATCTCTGACTCTGAGAAATAAAAGTGAGAAAAAAATATCCTTTGTCTCTAGTACTAACTAGTAGTAGTAGTAGTAGTAGTAGTAACCATACAGTTAAAAAAAATCATTAGAGGATAATTTCAGAAGATAGCACCAAATCAGAAAAAAATCTGAATTCACAACATCATCACAAGATTCAATAAAATGTTTAGGAGTAACAACTTGAGCAAAACAAGATTTTTACACAAAAAGCAAATAAAAAAATAAACAGTGGGCAGATCAGGGAATATATATAATAATAAAAAGTAGCCCTCTGACCCACCCTCCTATTGGTGAGATGTCAGTCCTACATCACAACCTCTCAGTCAGTATCTTTTCTCTTTAGTTTTAGTTTTAGTAAGTGTTTCACGGCACTTGCAACACAATAAGGTCATATATATATAAGTGCCGAAAATTAGAGGTGTTACAAGAGAGTAACAAACACAAAAAAGAAGGAGGGGAGATAGTTTTAGTTTTAGTAGAGGGTTTTACGGTGCTCGCAACTGCATAAGGTCATATGAGCGCCAGAAGATTAGAGGTGTTACAAGAGAGTAACAAACATAAAAAAGAAGAAGGGGAGATAAGGACGATAGATGTTTGAAAGAAGAAGCAAACCACACCAGAGCACCCGCCAACCACCCACAGGAGGGGAGATAAGGATGATAGGTGTTTGATAGGAAAGAAGGAGCAAACCACACCAGAGCGCCCGCCAACCACCCACTATCTTTTCTCTGAACTGAGGACGCAGCCTTGTGGTGCTATAGGAGCAAGAGGGACCCGCCCTGTAATGATCTTATTTACTTGTGTCTCTTACTGTTGAAAGTTTGATGCATTCAGAAACTTTCTTAAAAAGTGGACCAAAAAGTTGACAAAGAGAGAAGTACACAGTAATAAATGTGAGGCAGCGAGGCAGAATCAGGCTCTCGTCAATTTTTGGGCATGTAGAGTTATTGGTATCATCTAAAAGCTTGTTCATTTGTCTTGCTTTCAATGAAAAAAATTACCCATTCATCTTCAATAGAAGTGGAAATATTTTGGTTTGAAGGAGGTGGGGGTCACCTGATTTAAGAGGTAAAATTAGCGAGAAAATGGTCGCCAAAGCTTGGTAAAATTTCAAAGCTGGAGAGTCCATGGAAACTGTAAATTTATATTTTTGTGCCTTTAATCAACGTTTTCGGTGAAATCCTCAAAGGAATGTATTCGTAAATGGACATAAAAGGTGTTGAGCCAAAAAAATTATAGATGATAAAAATTGCTAAGCAGGGAGAAAACTACTATTTTCTTCGATTTCATTATTTTGACGAGAGCCTGATTCCACCACGCTGCCTTACAAATGTTAAACTGCCATTTGATGACTTACTTGGAAAAGAAAGCACACAATAAATATTTAGACAAAGTATAAATATAATATCATACATGTATACAATAAAATAAGGAAGCAAAAGTTTGTAATTACAATGGCAAGGTCATCTTCAACAGTTTGAATTCCCATTCTCTCAAAGTCATACTACTATAATAAGCTTGTACCAAAAGGTAATGACATTGCAAAATCAAGGATAAAAATTGAATTCAGAATGTACTGATCAAAATTGTATTCAGCGTGCACTCATTATAAGACAAAGGAAGTTACACATAGATCCAGTCTTTTGATCTCTTGTGTATTCTTAGAACCTGTAGGCCTATAAACTGTCCATACAACCTGATCAACAAACCAAACAACTATAACATGTTCTCATTTGCCATGACTTATTGGCCTTAACTGCACTTTGCCAACGTAATGTAAACATTAAAATGGGGCTCTTGTGGCCTAGAGGTTAAGGTGTTCGCCTCTCATTTAAATTCAAAGGTCCCAGGTTCGAATCTGGGTAGCGACGGAATCATTTCCTTCTCTAAAATTGTCTCCTTTCCCCTTCTTTCCTTCTCTCTTGCAATATTCAGTCGTCTGCTTTCATCTCCACTTTCTTCCCCTACCCCCTCACCTCTTTTGTCCCCTCCACTGGGCTCCTGACTCTTTATGCAGCCTTTCTACTGCTACTCCTTGGCTCCTTCTTACTGCTGTCTTTCTGCCACACCCCTGATCTTCTGGTAGGAAATATCTACACCTAGTCGTCTCGGACAAGGGCGAAAAATCTCGGAAGTCCCGGGTGCAAGTTGTGCACATTAATGATCCCTTGGTGGTCCAAAATCAATAAGGGTAGACTTCGGCCGCCACTCGGGCAAAATTCAAAATTTCTTACCAATTGAAAATGTTTGGCGCGGCCCCAGCACTCATATGACCTTATGCAGCTACAAGCACCGTTTGCAAAACACTTACAAAAAAAACAACACATCAACAAACAAACAAAAACACATTAAAACGTTTAAAAAAAGGTGGAAGCAATGACTTAATCACCATCTACATAAATATTGCATGTGGCCATGCAGTCATGATTTTCACCAGTACTATGTTGTCACTGAAAAATAATAAACAATAAGAATACATGTATACATAAATTATCAAACAGACACTGTGTTCAGTGTACACTTGTTGGGAGGCATGGGCATATTCTTTCCTAACTATACATAGCATGTCCGTGAAATCAACAACCTGTATGCATCACATGGATACATTTACAAATTTCCATTATATTATACACGTATGACAACAGCAATGCTTAAAGGCTTGAACATGTCGTCTGGCAGTCACCAATTCAGGATAAATGTTTAAAATAGAAAAAGTCACTTCAAGTTCAAGCACAGCAAAATTGATTTCATTGCTGGCATGATGGGCCCAGCTTTTCTCAGTGTTGAGCTCAGAGTAAATATAAAAAGACAGCAGTGGAAGGTAGAGTCGTTAAAGTGAACACAGGTTTGAACACATTGACGGTCGCTAGGGGTGGGTTGATGGGGTTATTATGAGCTTGAGCAAGACAGATTCAAGTTAGTTAAGAAATAAGATGCACTATCATGGCAAATAGTAATGCCATGCTTCTGTTAGAATAGTTATCTATTATGTCTCATCCGCAAGTAGTGTTCGTTACGTTTGTCATTTCAAGACTTCACGTCCCTAACAGGGTAAAAAAAAGGGAACTCTCAAGGAACAGTGGATCAAGAGGGATGACATATATACAGGCTACCGGGGACAACATCTATCTAAAAAATAATATAAACGTAATCAAACTGCACAATGCACCTAATATTAACAACAAAACGTCTCTGTATTTCTTCCATCAGAACTTTCACAAGAGAGTATGAAGTGGAGTTGAGTCAAAAGGAGAAGAAGAAACAGAGGAAGAGGAATCCGAAAAAGAAGAAAAAGAAGAAAGAGGAATAAGAAGAAAAGACCAGAAGGAAAAAGCCAAAATGAAGAGTGATAATTAGAAGGAGTTATAGGCAAAGGTACCTATTATAAAGAGAATGGTTCAATTAAACATTGAACATTCTTGTCTTACTGATTTCCCTATATTGTCAAAACTCTTCATTCTCAATAAATTCTGGATGATGATGAATATACAAGAAGTTGTAGAACCTCACTCCTCTGTCAAGTGTATAGATCTTCTTGTTGTCTTCTTCGGAGAGTTCAAAACTAAGTGCATTAAAATTCTCCTCTAAACGTCCTGGGCTTGAGCTCTTAGGCAGCACAGCAAATCCTCTACACAGCAAAAAGTTCAGAAGAATCTGTGCAGGAGTTTTCTCATATTTTTCCGATAGTTCTATGATCAAAGGGTCTTCCGTTAAGTTCTCTGTGTTGTGCTTATGTATGTCAGGTCTGTTGACAGCCCCAATAGGAGCGTAGGCGCTTAGCGCAATGTCATTGGAATCACAGAAAGCTTTCAGCTTCTGCTGCTGGTAATAAGCATGGCACTCAAGTTGAACGTTGGCTGGTGGGATTCGGGCAGCAGATAAAACTCTTTGTATCTGCCCTATAGTGAAGTTAGACAAGCCAATATTCTTTGTAAAATCATCCTTGAAGAGAGACTCCAGGGCTGTCCATGTCTCTAAGAAATCAACATTTTCAATTTCACTTTTTCCGGTACTATTGTTGATTAAAGGGGCGATTTCTCCTTCCTTTCTTTTCACTTGTCCCCACGGATGATGAATAAGAAGCATATCCACATTCTTCATCTTCAGCTGACCCAAGGACTTGTGAGCAGATTCCAAGGTATCTGATTTCCTGAGCCAAGTACTGGGTATTTTTGTGGTGATGAAAACATCTTTCCGGGATAATTTCCCAGCCTGAATCCTGTCTCCAAGTACCTCGCCTATTTCTGTTTCATTTTCGTATAAAGCAGCAGTGTCAATATGCCGATAGCCCAAGAACAAAGCAAAGTCCAAAGCCTGCTTTAATACATCACCCTGCAGCATGTAGGTACCAAGTCCTAGAAGAAAAATAAACTTTTCATTAAAACGAAACGATTATAATCCATCAATGCAAAGGTTTAATAAAAAGCAAGAAGCATGACAAACGGTAGAAGTAGAAATAAACAGGACAGGCAGAGAGCAGAATCAAACTATACCATCTTTCACCACTGACAAAAAATTTCCTTCAGGTTTGGGAAAACTTCTGGTTAATAGTAACAAACAAATCCCCTTCTACTTTAACTTAATTTTATACACTCCAACACAATTTTCACATACTTTTGAGATTATGACTGCTTTTGTCAAGTTATGTAACATCCTTTTTCTTGACATTTGAAAATACCACATCATATCAAGTAGAGAAGAAAAAAAATTTAAACTGTAGTATGGTGAACAATTTCCCAATTTTACCTGCACACATATTAGAGCGCTGTGCATTAATACATTTCAATTTCAAAATGTTTCAATTCCCTTAAATGATACACCCAGCCTACGTTCTTTATTCCCAGATATTTATGTCAGAAGGCTCAACAGACCAAACTACCTGCTGAAGAAGTGATTTCAGCACCAGATCTAGCATATATATTTTTATTACTCTTATTAATACAGCTTAAGTCAGTGGGTTTCTTTTATTGACATCTCCAATACCGCCACATTAACTATTGTAACAAGCTGAGGAACACTTTTAGAAAAAAAGATGGCCTGAATATCTTCTTTCACGTGAGCAAAATATCTATTCCGGAGAAGGAGATCATTTGGGCCTTATCTTGCATGGCACAGATTACACTACCTAGTTTCTCAATGTTGTCAAAATTCTTCATTCTCAAAAAATTCTGGATGATGGTGAATATACAAGAAGTTGTAGAACCTCACTCCTCTGTCAAGAGTACAGATCTTCTTGATGTCTTCTTCGGAGAGTTCAAAACTAAGTGCATTAAAATTCTCCTCTAAACGTCCTGGGCTTGAGCTCTTAGGCAGCACAGCAAATCCTCTACATAGCAAAAAGTTCAGAAGAATTTGTGCAGGAGTTTTCTCATATTTTTCCGATAGTTCTATGATCAAAGGGTCTTCCGTTAAGTTCTCTGTGTTGTGCTTATGAATGTCAGGTCTGTTGACAGCCCCAATAGGAGCATACGCGCTTAGCGCAATGTCATTGGAATCACAGAAAGCTTTCAGCTTCTGCTGCTGGTAATAAGCATGGCACTCAAGTTGAACGTTCGCTGGTGGGATTTGGGCAGCAGATAAAACTCTTTGTATCTGCCCTATAGTGAAGTTAGACAAGCCAATATTCTTTGTAAAATCATCCTTGAAGAGAGACTCCAGGGCTGTCCATGTCTCTATGAAATCAACTTTTTCAATTTCACGTTTTCCGGTACTATTGTTGATTAAAGGGGCGTTCTCTCCTTCCTTTCTTTTCACTTGTCCCCATGGATGATGAATAAGAAGCATATCCACATTCTTCATCTTCAGCTGACTCAAGGACTTGTGAGCAGATTCCAAGGTATCTGATTTCCTGAGGCAAGTACTGGGTATTTTTGTGGTGATGAAAACATCTTTCCTGGATAATTTCCCAGCCTGAATCCTGTCTCCAAGTACCTCGCCTATTTCTGTTTCATTTTCATATGAAGCAGCAGTGTCAATATGCCGATAGCCCAAGAACAAAGCAAAGTCCAAAGTCTGCTTTAATACATCACCCTGCAGCATGTAGGTACCAAGTCCTAGAAAAAAACAAACTTTCTGTGTGAGAATGAATGAAACAATAATCAGGCTTGCCAACTTTTGAGATATTGAATTCTGGAATTTTGATTGCGCTGGATAGGCTACTAAAGCCACTAAAAAAACCACCCACACCACAAAAACAGCTCAAACAAACCAGTGGAAAAACAGAGAGAGAGAGAGAGAGAGAGATGAGAATGTTACAGTATAGTTACTACAAACAGCTCTAAAACAGCAGCAGCCCCATGTAGACCCCTCCCTGTCTCTTTCTAGGAATATAATTTTTTTGGGGGGTGGGGGGTAGGGAACATCGCGATTTTCAGAAAACCGGCATTCCAGGGAAGGTACGAGAATGACAATGGCAATTCGGGAATTTCCCGAAAAATTCGGGAAGTTTGGCAAGCCTGAATAATGCATAAATTATAAACACAGTTGCCTTATTCAATTCAGTGTCAGAAGCATGACAAACAGTAGAAATGTACAAGACAAACAAGAAAGAGGCAGTTCTAAGCTGAATTGCCAGGTAATCGTTGAGGAGTGAACTAAGCGTGAGTCTGAGGATTTCAACACTTCATTACAAGCCAGAAAATCAAAATTCAAGAAACGAATGGCGCTTTTTCGGCAGTTCCCACCCCCCAATTAATATTCGCCGGTTTGGGCCCCACAAGTCAAGAGTAGGGGGGTTTCTGGGGAAGCCCCCCAGACCTAATACGGTGGAATCCTGTTATAACGAGAGGGAGGGGACCGGTGCGAAATGTCCGTTATAGCAGTATTCTCGTTATTAGGGATCCAGTAATTAATTCAAGGGAAATAGTAATGTAGGCCTAATCTATGAGTTTGGTGTTCTGTTTATTCCTTTTTGTATTTCCCCTGATGATGATTTTGTTCAACATGATCTCTAGGTCTTACTTGATCAAAAATCGAATCAGGTTTCTTTCTCTAGCACTAGCAATGTTGACAAATCGGCTTTGGCGATCAGAAAGAAGGGGCTCTGGCTCTAGGCTAACTTGCGTTGTGTGTGTTGCGTCTGCTTGCGCACATCACACATTCACTCCATCCATCACAGCATTGTGACTTCTCCATCCCGCACCAGAGAAGTGAGAGGCACGGTATGCCTTGATAATCTAGACTGGGCTGGCCTATCACACGATGCGTTCTGCTTGTCTGCGCATGCCACACCCTCCCCACTCATTCGCTCCGGCCTTCATTGTTGGTTCGTGTGGGCTCTCCCGTTCTTTGTTTCGCTGGATCACCAACAACTTTCTCAACTGGCAAGGTTTTATACGTTTCATTGGTCTGTGAGCTGTTCACATCAGCAGCATTATTCCGCTATAACCGACTCGCGAGACTGTCTGATTATGCAATAGCAGTATTTTATTTACAAAGATAAAGAAGGGAAAAAACGGGGTTTTAGAATAGTGTCTTTATAGCAGACTTCTCGTTGTTTCAGGACTCGTTATAAGTCGACTCCACTGTAAAAACATGGAGGGGGGGGGGGGCTTCCTTAATTTGATATTTTGCAGTAAAGGTTGCATCCCTGTTCTTTGTGTTGCCTATTTGGTCATCAAGACTTCCGGATTTTTTCTCTGGATGTAAACAAAGGAAGTGGCTATCCTCACCCGGGGTGAAAATAAAATTGATCAACCTCTCACCCCGGGTGAGACTTGAAAGCGTTGGCTATTCTCACCCGCTGAGAAACAAGACCTGTTTTTCCTAATTTCCGAATACTGTCTATCGGTGTGGATGATCAAAATGACAAAAAAGCAAAGAAAAAAATGATGTTATGGCAAAAAAGTAGACTAATTTGATCGTCTACAAAGATGCTGTGGCTACTTCACTTTTCGAATCGAGCCGAACTACGCGAGTCGCCACTTTATTTTGCCCAGAATTTCTTGCGGTACTCCTCTCTCTCTCTTTCTCTCTCTCCATCGCCCAAAGAAAAAATTGCATGCTTTTAGGCTAATACTAGTAACACAAGAGCACTGGAACGTTTGTTCACGGCACAACATTCTACAATTCTGTTATTAAATCACAGTGTTGAACTAGAATTCTGTAGTTCAGAGTGAACGCTACACTGGTTGACCTAGGCTATAACGGTGAACGCACATCGGGTGAAAATAACAAAAAAGGCTCGCCTGCGCTATTACTATTGCTATTCTCACCCGGGGTGAGAATAGGTGGCTGTCAACAAATGTGATCACGGACTTTAACTTTAGAAAGTGGCTATTCTCACCCGCCGGAAGTTCTCGCAAGATCAACTCTTCCCCTCTTCTCTCTCTCTCTTTCTGAATATACTGTCTATCGCCATCGGTGTGGACGCTCAAATTGACCAAAACAAAGTTAAAAAATGATGTTAAAACACAAAAGTAAATTAATTTGGTTGTCTACAAAGATGCTACGGCTATTTAACTTTTTGAATCAAGCCGAACTACGCGGGTCGCCATTTTGTTTTGCCCGGAAATTCTCGCGCTACTCCTCTCTCTCTTTCTCTCTCTCTCTCCACTGCCCACAGACAAAATTGTACGCTTTTAGTAGGCTACAGTTGTAATGGAACGTTTGTTCACGGCACAGAATTCTACAATTTTTCTGTTATCGCAGTGTAGAATTCTGTGGTTTAGGGTGAACGCAAAATTTGGTGAACGCGCACCGGGTGAGAATAGCCACAAGGTCAAGACTCGCCTGCACTATTCTCACTCTGGCCTTAACTTTAATGAATGGAACTACAAGAATGACAAGATCATCGGTAATAGTAGGCCTATTATAATTTTGTATTCTAGATTCCATTCTAGATCAAGATCTAGATCTAGATTAGATATCTTAAATATCTAAATTTATTTACCAAGAGTGGGAAATCGACATCCAGTGTTCAGGGTCAAGAATCGTGGAACAGACATTGTTTGGTGGTAACTTTGAAATTACTGCCAGACAAGAGTAAAAGCAGCTTATTTTTTTAGTTCTCGACAGGTCCTGACAGAAGAAGATACCAGACTAACAACACCTCAGCTTGTTTTGTTCTTGACGCTGGACCAACTTTCGGGGTTATGAAATGACAGAAAAAGGACTTTCTATGAAAAGTGAAAATAAAAACAAGTAGATCAGTAAAAAACCAAAGCTGTTTCCCATCAGAAACGAAGGTAAAAAATATAAAATTACCCTGAAAACAAATAATAATCAACATATTTCAAATTTGAAGTCTTGGTTATTGATCGTGTAATCTAGATTATATCATGAAGGCTTGGTTAATTTATTTGTATATTGTCCATCTATTTTTACAATATTTTGTAAGCAGGTTAACTATTCTCAATTTTTAATTGAATCATATATCTTTTGGTTTTGTTTTATAGATAATCTAGATCTACAGTAAAATCTAAACGATAGCAAAAATATTCTTTATGTATACTATGCACTTCTTTAACTGGACAGGAAGTTGTTTGGGGGCGGTTTTCATTTATTATCTCTCTTGGTCTAGTCTGTTGGCCTTGTACTGTTGAATGTAAAATAATCTGCCTGGTCTAGATCTAGTGAACGTCAAAATGACAATCTTCAATTTCTATTTGTTTGACCGTCACGGAACTTGTTTGTACTATGCGGAGTGGAACAGAAAGAAGCAGTTGACGATGAGCAAGGAGGAGGTAGGCTAGTCTACTTGACTCGTCCAGTTGGCCACCTCTATTCTCACCCGGAGTGAGAATAGTGCAGGCGAGTCTTGTGGCTATTCTCACCCGGTGCGCGTTCACCAAATTTTGCGTTCACCCTAAACCACAGAATTCTACACTGTGATAACAGAAAAATTGTAGAATTCTGTGCCGTGAACAAACGTTCCATTACAGCTGTAGCCTACTAAAAGCGTACAATTTTGTCTATGGGCAGTGGAGAGAGAGAGAGAAAGAGAGAGAAAGAGAGAGAGGAGTAGCGCGAGAATTTCCGGGCAAAACAAAATGGCGACCCGCGTAGTTGAGCTCGATTCGAAAAGTTAAATAGCCGTAGCATCTTTGTCTTTGTAGACAACCAAATTAATTTACTTTATAGCGGAGTGTCTACGTACACGGTAACCGGGCACCTAGCCTCAGTATCTACTACGTACACGGTAACCAGGCACCTAGTCTCACCTACTCAGTGTATCTACGTACATGGTAACCGGGCACCTTGTTTCAGTATCTACGTACACGATAATCGGAATGAAAATAAATCAATATTTGTCCTGTGCTGTCACTTGCTGAAAAAAAAGAAAGTCATACTGCGCGTGTGCATCACATTGACATTGTGAGTACCGGTTGGGGTCACCAGAGTTCATTCAAAGTCTGTGCGCTGCAAAGTATAGGGCTCTGGAATGGGGGAATTATTTACTGACTTTTTTAAAGACCTGTCGGGGGAGGGGTGGGGATGAAGGCAACACCGGATAACAAAAACTGAACTTGTTGAGTTCTGAACTGCCCAGTTACCCTGTACGTGACATTGAGACTACACGCCCAGTTGCCGGTTACATAGATATTGAGGCTACATGCCCGTTACCGTGTACGTGACACTGAGACTACGTGCCCGGTTGCCGGTTACCGTGTACGTAGACAATGAGGCTAGGTGCCCGGTTACCGTGTACGTAGACACTCGCTCCGTTGTTGTTTTAACATCATTTTTTAACTTTGTTTTGGTCAATTTGATCGTCCACACCGATAGACAGTATTCAGAAAGAGACGGAGAGAGAGAGAAGAGGGGAGGAGTTGATCTTGCGAGAACTTCCGGGCGGGTGAGAATAGCCACTTTTTCCGTCCAGTTTGTCACATCTATAGTATGGCCCTCTATAGTATAGTCTACTATAGTATAGTCTACTATAGATATATAGTATAGAGTCTACTACAACTACAAAGTGTCAAAGTCAAAAGCAGTGTAACATCTATTATCTAGAATTCTAGACTCTAGATCCAGATCTAGATATCTATTCTAAATCTAGTTCTATTCTAGATATATAATAGAAAGGAAGTGGCTATTCTCACCCGGGGTGAGAATAGAAATACGATCGATCTCTCACCCCGGGTGAGACTTGCTAGCGTAGGCTATTCTCACCCGGTGTGAAACAAGACCTGTTTTTCCTAATTTCGAAATACTTTCTATCGATGTGGATGATCAAATGGATAAAGGCAAAGAAAAGATTACGTTATAGCACAAAAGTAAGCTAATTTTATCGTCCACAAAGATGCTATGGCTATTTCACTTTTTGAATCGAGCCGAACTACGGGGGTCGCCATTTATTTTGCCCGGAAGTTCTCGCAAGATCTACTCCTCCCCTCTTCTCTCTCTCTATCTCTTTCTGAATACTGTCTATCGGTGTGGACGATCAAATTGACCAAAACAAAGTTAAAAAATGATGTTAAAACACAAAAGTAAATTAATTTGGTCGTCTACAAAGATGCTACGGCTATTTAACTTTTCGAATCGAGCCGAACTACGCGGGTCGCCATTTTGTTTTGCCCGGAAGTTCTCGCGCTACTTCTCTCTCTCTCTCTCTCTCTCTCTCTCTCTCTCTCTCTCTCTCTCTCTCTCTCCACTGCCCACAGACAAAATTGTACGCTTTTAGTAGGCTAACAGTAGTAATGGAACGTTTGTTCACGGCACAGAATTCTACCATTTTTCTGTTATCACAGTGTAGAATTCTGTGGTTTAGGGTGAACGCAAAATTGGTTGGCCTAGATCTAGGCTATATATAACGGTGAACGCGCACCGGGTGAGAATAGCCAAAAGACTGGCCTGCACTATTCTCACCCGGGGTGAGAATAGAGGTGGCCTAAATGAAATTTATGATCAGTGGCACCGTCACCATATGGTCATCTATGATATATCGGGAATCTGGTTTTGATATTAGTGTTGGCCACAACAACGATAGATTTAACTATCCAGAGTATCCTTGATCATCATGGGTTTTGGCTCCACTGAATCGTTTATGTTTTTAACCCCTTCGGCTTCGTGACCTTCGATTAATAATTTGACGTACACTGTTGGTTTTTCTTTTCTTACACAGCGAACGAGCCAAGATGCTGCTGTGTGTGTAGATCAAGTATGGTGTTTGTCATGGCTTGCGAAGCAAGCAGAACATGATGACATGTAGTTTGTCATTGCCAAATTGTATTCTGCACTGCTTCTTCTATTTAAAAAATGCACTTCGTAAAATTAATTGTAGATTTACATTTCAAGACATTTGGGAATATTTTTTCGGTAGGCCCTACAGAGACATTTTTTCCTTTTAGATGTTAGGCTAATAGCCTAGATAGAGTAAGTTAAGTCAGTAGTATTTGAAAACCGTGTCTAGATCTAATTTTATAATAAAAACTGACCACTAAAAAAAAATCTAGCGCTATTCTGTGTCCCTGTGGATCTAAAATTGTTCACGGTGAAGCACACCCTGTGTCACAAAGGGGTTGAATATCTTAACGATTACTTTTCACTGTGCGTTCTTTTATGATGTTTGACTCATAGCAAGCGAGAGAAAATATCAGACCTAATTTTGTGAAGCATCGAATTATAATGAATTTTATAATTTTACCCCCCCCCTCCGGGGCAGTGCCACTGACTGAAGTGTCTTTGGGCCATTCCCAAAGGGGGAACATTATGTTCTTATAAATGCACTGTAGAATTGTAAACTGTAAATGGACTGATCCATCAATGTCATGCTCATAACTGTGCCTGAACTGCGAAAGGGAACTGCTGCTTTAAAAAAATGTCTTTCCTAATCCTTACCATCGTCATTTTTCCTTGACTCCTTTTGTATGTTTGTCACACTCTTATGACACGCTATTTCCATGGTGCCTTGATAGTTGAAGCAGAAGCAGACTTTGTGCTTCTGAAGCTAGAGAGGTGAGCAGAGTGAGCCCAATTCCCTGTGTGGACTTCTCTGTTGTGACATCCACCCCTTGGCGCTCACATGACCTTTATGCAATTGCGAGTGCCGTAAAACCTATACTAAAACTAAAAGATTAAGAATTTTGGTAAATACATCCCTGAACCACCCCGTTATAAAAATCACTGTTCAAGTGAAATATTACTGCTTATTTTGTAGCCTATATGAAAAATACCAGTGCATCTCTTGCTCTCTTTCGGATAAAAACATCGATTTTGAGTATTAAAGTCAGTATCAATATTCCGGTACTCTTTGGGCCAAAAAGTGGAGATTGCTAATATTTATCAACAGTAACTGCTCAATTAATTCCTCCTATCACCTAATCTGGGAAGTACTACTAAGATTTAGTATGGGGTCCTCATACCCAACCCAGCTCGTCCCTGGGTGGTGGATAGGGGAAAGGCCTCCAGATATGGAGGTTAGCTGCCAGTCGCGAACCAAATGGGAAATGGTCGTGGAGAGTAGAGGGGAACCCTGGTGGCACAGGTGCTTCAATAAATACCTCACACACTCCAAGAAGGGACCATCTTGGCGACGGGAGGTGCCATAATATAAATCCTACCAAAGCCCCCAATGCCTTGTGGGTTGTCAGTGGATGACAAAGGCTAGCAGAGAAAACTGTACACAAACCGGCAGTAGGCAACGGGAAACCACTGCTGTAATATCCCAAGAATAGTCATGGAAAAGTACATTCATTTATCTCTCAATGTTAAAAACAATCAGGAAATGACAAATGCAGTTTTTGGGACACCTGAATAGACGTAAGGGTGTTGAACATCTAGCTCTCACTGGCAAAATTGAAGGCAAGCGAGGCAGGGGTAGGCCCAGAACAACATTAAGGAACCTAAACAAATGGGTAACAGTAACAGGGAAAGATCAGGGAAACGTAGCTTTTTTGAGAGCATCCGAGCAAAGGAATGAATGGAAAACCATGATCGCCGATGTCTGTCACAGATCTGGCACTGGATGATGATGATGATCATCACCTATTCAATCACAATGAGACTGCTATGCTGTGGCATTGATTTTCATTCATTAGTCATTCTCCTTGAAACTGAAACTTCCAATTCAATACCCCACATGTAATGCTGAGCTAGGAGCTGAATTTTTTTCCCTGACCCTGGAAACGCTGCATGTTTTTAAAAAGAGGATTGTGAAGTCAGTGTTTTCATTCAACTGACTAATGGCATATATAAAGTGAGTAATACAAGAAAGAGAATTGAATTAAGATTGAGAATCTTGGTAAATATTAATAATGCAATCTCATTCTAATAGATCTAGGTCCTCGATTAATTTTTAATATAATATGATACATCATATATATATATATTTCATTCCTACTTTTCAGGAGTTCAAACTGATGTATGGAATGATCTTCTCTATCAAGTCATTTGCATCAAGACTGTCCCCTACAGATATGTATCCTTCTTATGTGCAGAGAACAATTTGCTCTCTGTACTCTCTGTGTGTTGACCTCACTATAATGAAGTTTAGTGTACATTGTTTTCATAATATAAATATTGCTGTCATTAACTGGAACTTTTTGCTACCATAGTAATTCTTTTTCAGCTGAACCATATGGACAGCTTGTTGGCAGAAAGTGTGCACTTTGCACCGGGAAGATGTAATCCCAGTAAAATTATTGTAGGGTTTTTGTAGGCTATATATATATATATCCAAATTGCTTGTCCCCCCCCCTTTTCCATAATACACGTTATTGTACTTTACAAAGAAGAAGTAAAAATAAAAGTGTTGTGTCCCTATCTGGTTGAACAAATCTGACAAGGGCCTCGTAGTCAAACTGCCTTTGTAGATTGTAGTTTTTTTTAAAAAGTCTTCTGGTACCATCCAAGGAAAATGGCATTAAAATATATCTGAGTTACAGCCAAGGTTTGACAATTAGCTGATCAAAAAAAAAATGTAATCATGATACCTATGTATTCAATTTCTATTTTGTCTACAAGTTATTTAACTAATGCCGTCAGTTCTTAATTGTGTAAACATACAGTTATAGTGTTTATGTGTGTGTTATTTTTTATTGCTGTGACGTAACGCCATTTATCGTGAGGTCAAAAGTTCGTGGTGCAACTTATCCTCAAATATCTCTTTTACGGGTGAATCAATGTCATCCATACTTTGCATAGCAGCTTTGTATCAATTTGTCTTAACTAAATCATATTTTTCTAGAACAATTGGGGCTGGATTAAATAAAAAACTTTTCTTCATAAATTTATATAAAATACTTGAAATCTCTGTCACATGTAAAATGGTATTGTTCACAGCACTTCCCGCTTCTCACACACATTTTGATTACGCATATGGCCTACGTCACAGCTCATCAAAGACAATTTTTACTTGCAAAACTTGTTACAAGAAATTATTGTTATAGTGAACACATTTTTTGCACTAATAGCTCTCAAAAGATGTGTTCAATTGTCCCGATTAAAAAAACCTGACAGACTTGCTATTAAAAGCTATATTGCCCCAGCTGTAAACATTTTAAAATCTGTAGAAACCACCCACTTGGTTTGTTTATTAGTATTTATTAAGGAATTTTCTAGAATGCAGCTTGCAGGTGTTTACAACAATGTTGATCTGTTAAGACAAATTGGTACAGTGGAAACCATGTATAACAGGCCCGGTAATAACAGGGATCCGGTAACAACAGTGATTTTTTAAATCCCCGTTTTTTCCTACTCTTTGTCTCTATTCAAAGTTATCGGCAATAACAGGGCTTCATCGGAGCCCAACCGGTTATAGCAGGGACAAAGGCTCGTTACAATGTGTAAAAAAAAAGAGAGAGAGAGAGAGAGAGAGAGAGAAGCGAGAAAGGGCTGCGGTGTGCTGCTGACCTCGATCTAGCCCGAAACGTAGCAACACACACGCGTAATGTGTCACCAACGATGTCAAGCGCACGAGAAAATGCCTTTCAATTGACAAAAAATACGAAATAATCCAGGCTGTTGACAAAAAGCAAGTTCCACTTGCAGAGATTTTTCGTCAGTTCGACATTCCACAAGGGTCGATTCACACTATTATCAAGGATAGAGAGAAGATAGTGGCAGCATACTCCAATTCCAATGGAAGTTTGCTCTGGATCGAAAAAAGATGAGACTACCCGATGCAAATGCTGTGGACCAAGCTCTTCTGATGTGGTTTAAGGAGGCAAGGAGAAAGTTGGTGCCAAAACCCCTGTTCGTGGGTACTTGTGGCAAAGGAAACTACCCTTGAATAAGTACAGCTGGATTAGTCCACAAATGCTTACTTTCCTTGCATTTCTGATTTAACAGGGATCGGGTATAACAGGACATTTTCTCAACTCCCACCATCCCTGTTATATCAGGTTTCCACTGTACAAGTCACTGAGCAAAAATTAGAGAGTCTATGTTAGATAGTTGAGGAGATATATTTGAAAATAAGTCGCACCACAAATTTTTGACCGCACTATAAATGTTTGTTTTTATTTTTTTCAGAGGCTATATATATGTAAAAATGTTTTGTAATTTTTTTCTGAATGTAGTCGGTAAATTGAAAGTAAGTGGATGCTATTCAGAATTATATTATTAATGCCTATGCATATTACATTGAACCATACCATCAGCAAGTTAATTTAAATTTGTACATATATATACATGGTCTGTGCTGTTCTGTCTTTCCTCCCTGATCATGATCTGTCAAGATTTCAAGCTTGCTCTCTCTCTCTCTCTCTCTCTCTCTCTCTCTCTCTCTC